ATAGAAGCAGACCTCATGAGAGAGCTCTGCTCTGCGCAAATAAAAGCGGTGACCCTAGCGGCTGTATTACTAGGTAAAGGAATGGGGGCAAGGACGGAAATAGAGCCGTTTAAGGCCCAATTGGAAAAGGCACGGGCGCAGTTGCAGAGTGTGAAGGCGAAAACAGCAGGCTGGAAGAAAGCAACGAGGAGTGCCTGTGGAAAGGGCTTAGCCTATGCTCAGAGGGCAAAGAAGATAGAGGTATTGGCGGTGGTGCAGAGTTATTTGATTGAGCGCGCCAAGGTAGTCCAGGTTGAGGTCACTTCCGAGCTATCGGTCGCCAAGTCTGAACTTGAAGTGGTGCACCACATGGTGATATCACTAGAGTTTGAGCTGGCGAGCGAGCAGAAAAAGATGGGCGAGGACCAAGAATCCTGCGACACCGCCAAAAAGAGATTAGAAGAAGCCCTCATAAATAATGAAGAGCTGCTCGATCAGGCCTTGAAAGATAAGGAAAAGGCAGATGCCTGTATCGCTGAGTTGGAGAGGACCTTGGGAGAAGAAAAGGCCAAGACTGCAGAGTTAGCCAGGATGGTGGCGTCTGAGAAGGCTGCCTATTCGGACTTATGCATCACGGCGGTGGAGCAGTTTAAGGCATCCCCTGAGTTCTAAATGGCCATTGACGCGGCTGTAGCAAGAGGCTTGGCCAGAAAGAGGAAAGGTGGTGCTTAGCCGTCAAGAGTGGCTGCTGCTGGGAGGACTGAAGAAGAAATAATCCAGGGTTTTCAGTAGTTAGGCTACTACAAACATGAGATAAGCCAGTACTGGGCCAACAGCTAGACAAGCTTCAAGTACAAGGCGCAGAAGCTGTTTCCAGATGTGGACTTTAACCTGGTGAAGCCAAAAGATGAGGACATTGCCCAGACTCTGCTAGATGAAGGGGTGGAGGAGGAAGACTTGGCATCCAGCCAAGGGGATAGAGGAGAAGGAGAGTAAAGACTTGGCTGTTTGTTTTTTTTTTTTTTTTTTTGTAAAGAGTTTTGTTATTTTTTTTTTTTGGTGGTCTTTGTATAAAGGTTTGGGCTGTGTTAATAAAAATTTGTACAGTATTAATGAAATGATAAGACTTGGCTTTTGTTATAAATTGTCGCTTTGTTGGTTTTCCCTTTGAATTTGCCTGTCACGAATTATTTTTGATGTTGAATGGAATGTCGTATGTGCAAACGTTTCAGGCTCAAGGTGGCTGAGGCTTTATGGGTCTTTGTCTGGCTAAGCTCTTCTAGCTCAGTCTGGCTGAGGCTTAGGTGTCTCAGTCTAGCTGAGCTTTGCTAGCTCTGTCTGGCTGAGGTGTTTGTAACTCAGTCTGGCTGAGGCGTATGTAACTCAGTCTGGCTGAGGCTTGTAGTGCTCAGTCTGGCTAAGACTTATGTGACTCAGTCTAGCTTAGCTCTTCAAGCTCAGTCTGGTTGAGGCTTAGGTAACTCAGTCTGGCTGAGCTCTTCAGGTTCAGTCTGGTTGAGGCTTAGGTAACTCAGTCTAGCTGAGCTCTTTAGGCTCAATCTGGCTAAGGCTTATGTAACTCAATCTGGCTGAGTTTCTTCTGGCTCAGTCTAATTGAGGCTTATGGCGCTCAGTCTAGCTGAGACTTATGTAACTCAGTCTGGCTGGGTTTTTTTGGCTCAGTCTGGCTGAGGTTTATGCGCTCAGTCTGGCTTAAACTTATATAACTCAGTTGGCTGAGGCTTATGGTGCTCAGTCTAGCTGAGACTTATGTGATTTAGTTTAGCTGAGCTCTTCAGGCGCAGTTTGGCTGAGGCTTATGGCGCTCAGTCCGGTTGAGACTTATTTAGCTTAGTTTGGCTAGGTTCTTCTGGCTCAATCTGGCTAAGACTTATGTAACTCAGTCTGGTTGGGTTCTTCTGGCTTAGTCTGGCTGAGGTTTATGGCGCTAAGTCTGGCTAAGACTTATGTAACTCAGTCTGGTTGCGTTCTTCTGGCTTAGTTTGGCTGAGGTTTATGGCGCCCAGTCTGGTTGAGACTTATGTAACTCAATCTGGTTGAGCTCTTCAAGCTCAATCTAGCTGAGGCTTATGGTGCTCAATCTAGCTAACGCTTATATAACTCAGTCTGGCTGAGCTCTTCAGGAAGAGAAGCACAACACCAAAAAATGCGGTTTGAAAATGTTTATCATTAAAGCATTGTTCTGCAATCATAAATTTACACATTAATAAACAGGCTTACTAAATAACAAAGTGAACCACACAATAGGTTGAATCATACAAAAAGCAGCAGGAACCATTTTATTGAAAATATCGCTTTAAGTGCTCTACATTCCACAGATAGGGGAGGTCTCTACCCGTCATGTCTTAGAGACGGTAAGTGCCTGGACGGGGTCTAGCTGTAACAACGTAAGGTCCCTCCCACTTAGCCACTAGCTTGCCCTCGGTCAGGTTTTTGGTGGAGAGAGTGGCTTCACATTGGACTAGGTCGCCTACTACGAATTCGCGAGATCTAACTCGACGGTTGTAATGTGTTCTCATTCGTTGTTGATATGACGCCAGCCTGACAGCAACCGACTCTAGGAGTTCTTCGATTAGGTCTAGATCGACCTGCCATGGCCCTTCATTTAGTTCTGGGTTCATATGTAGCACCCGAGAGGTCAGCAGATCGATTTCCACTGGGATTATCTCATCGGTGCCGTATGTTAGGCGAAAAGCGATATCTCTAGTAGGGGTGCGAGCTGTTGTTCAATAGGCCCAAAGTACGTTCAGTAATTCCTCAGCCCAAAGTCCTTTGGCAGATTCTAATTTAGTCTTGATGATCTTCAAAAGGGAGCGATTAGTGACTTCGACTTGCCCATTAGTTTGGGGATGGCCTAGAAAGGAAAAACATGGTCTGATGCAGAGCTCTTCGCAGAAATTCTTGAATTTGGCGTTGTCAAATTGCTTACCATTATCTGAAACGATGGCCTGGGAAATTCCGAATCAGCATACGATTGATTGCCAGATGAACTTGGTGGTGTTTTATTCAGTGATTGTAGCAAGAGGTTCTACTTTCACCCATTTGGTAAAGTAATCAACGGTGACCACAGTGAACTTAACCTGGCCCCTACCAGTAGGTAAAGGACCGATTAAGTCGATGCCTTATTTGGCGAAGAGGTAGGGGCTGTTGAGTGTGATCAGTTTCGTTGGCGGTGTATAAGGGATGTTGGTAAAGCGTTGACATTTATCACACTTAAGCACAAAGTCGCTAGCGTCTTGATTGATTGTGGGCCAAAAGTTGCATGTGCGAAGAACTTTATGGGCCAAAGACCGTCCCCCTGAATGGTTGCCGCAAATGCCCTCGTGTATTTCTCTCATCACATAGTTCGCATGAGTAGGACTAAGACACTTGAGGTATGGGCGTGAGAATCCCCGTTTATACAGTAGGCCGCTAGTTAAATGACCGAGCCCTGACTTTATCGTCCTCCTATTTAGTATCTAGTAAAACCCCGTGTTCTAAGAACGAGATGATGTCTTGGGCCCAAGGGATAGGCTCGTTCTGGAGGAAGTGGACTTCTTGGGGATCTGGTGAAATGGCTGGGGTGGTCAGGTATTTGACTTGAACGCCATGATTGAGATTCGACTGGTCGGCCGAAGCTAATTGAGCCATTTCATTGGCCTAAGAATTGTCTCCCCTGGGGATGTGCTGGATCTAGAAACTGCTAAAAAGACGGGTGTGGAAAAGAGCAACGTCCTTGTAGGCGCGCATTGTTTCGTCCTTTGCGTCAAACTTCCCAATTATCTGTCCAACAACCAATTGGGAATCGTTGAATGCTTAGATGTGGTACCCCAATATCCTTGGCCAGTCGAAGACCTGCTATGAAGGCTTTATATTCAGCCTCGTTATTACTCACGTCAAATAGAAAATTGAGGGCACACTTAAAGGATTCTCCTTCTGGGGTAGTGAGTATTAAACTGGCTCCACTTCCCTCTTTGCGTGAAGAACCGTCAACGTTAAGGGTCCAAGAATGGGGGTCGGCTGTCTCTGGAATGGTTAATGGTTGTGATGAGGGTATGTGCGGGGTAAGGTTGGTGAATTCCATGATGAAGTCAGCGACGGCTTGTCCTTTGATGGCTATCCGAGGTCGGTAAGAGATCTCGTATTGACTCAATTCGACAAACCATTGCATGAGACTACCTGATGACTCTGGTTGTTGCATAATTTTCCTTAAGGGTTGATCAGTGAGGACCACAATTGAATGTGCCTGGAAATATGGTCGGAGACGTCCGGAGGCGATGACCAGAGCTAGGGCCATCTTCTCTAACAAAGGGTAGTTCTGTTCCGCCCTCCGGAGTGCGCGGCTGATGTAGTAAACTGGGCACTGGACTAAGTCGTCCTCTCTGATGAGTGTGACGCTAACCGCGGTGGTGGAGACAGCTAAGTAAAAAAAAAGGGTCTCTCCTGGCAATGCTTGAGAGAGGAGAGGGGCATTGGCCAGGCACTGTTTTAGTTGTTGGAAGGCCTCTTCAGACTCGGTGTTCCATTCGAAGGCCCATCGAGGAACTTTGAAGAATGGAAGGCATTTGTCAGTTGCTCGGGAAATAAAGCAGTTGAGTGTGGCAACTCTGCTTGTGATCCATTGGACCTCCTTCACAATTCTTGGAGACTGTATTTCTATCAGTGCCTTGATCTTTTCTAGGTTGGCCTCAATACCTCGGCGGCTGACCATGAACCCCAAAAGTTTACCAGATCCGACGCCTAAGACACTTTTTCGAATTCAAATTCATCTAGTACTTGCGCAAGGTTAGGAAAGTCTCTCGCAGGTCCGCTAAATGATCGGAGAAGAGTTTGCTTTTGACAAGCATGTCATTGATATAAACCTCTATGTTCCGACCTATCTGGCTTTTAAAAATGGCATTGACCAGGCGTTGGTAAGTGGCCCCCGTATTCTTCAAACCAAACGGCATCACACGGTAGTGATAAGTCCCCCTATCAGTAATGAAAGATGTATGCTCCTAGTCAGCTTCATGCATTAAGATCTAATTATAGCCAGAGAAAGCGTCCATGAAGCTAAGCATCTGATGTCCTGCAGTCGCATCAACCAATAGATCTATCCTAGGAAGTGGGTAGCTATCCTTGGAGCAGGCTCGGTTGAAGTCGGAATAGTCGACGCATAGTTTCCATTTGCCATTATTTTTGCGGACCAAGACTACATTAGATAACCATCTGGGACAATCTGCGTTTCTGATGAACTGTGCCTTTAACAGCTTATCCACCTCAGTGGCGTTGAGGTTGTTACACTCTGGGTGAAAAATGCGTTGTTTTTGGCGGAATGGTCGAAACTGGGGTTCAATACTAAGGCAATGAGTGATAAAAGCGGGGTCAATGCCTAGCATGTCCGCATGAATCCAAGCAAAGACGTCTTTGTGCTCGGTTAGGAGAGTCGTGAGGTCGGCCTTAGCATGAGGAGATAGCTGACTACTAATCTTAGCCGTCTTTGTTGGATCGTCAGAGTTTATGGACACTCCGATTAACTCTTCCATTGGTTCCCCCTTGATTAGTTCCTTCTTATCCCTGACATCAAGACCTTCTATGATCATAGCTTCTTTCATTTTGACTTCTTTTAGTGAAATGACGTAACATTCTCTAGCCACGGTCTGTTCGCCCCTTACAGTGTCAACCCCATGATCAGTCAGAAATTTGAGTGCCAGGGGATAAGTGGATGTCACGGATTGGAAAGCATTGAGTGTTGTGCGTCCAAGGATGACGTTGTAGGCAGAAGGGCAGTTGACAACCAGAAAGGTGAGAATCTTCGTATTTTGCCTTGAATACTCACCGATAGTGATTGGTAGGTCGATGGATCCTATAGAAATTACCTGGTCTCTAGTGAAGCCAACTAAAGGAGTTTGTAGAGGCGATAACTTTTCTTCACTAATTTGGAGTTGCTTGAAAGCATTGAGGAAGATAATGTCCGAGGAGCTACCATTGTCGACGAGCACACATCGAACGTTGTAGTTGGAAATGAGAGAGGAGATGACAAGTGGGTCATCGTGGGGTATCGGATGCCTTCACAATCTGCATTTGTAAAGGTAATTGGTTCTGACCATTGCTTAGGTTGTTTGGGGGGTCGGTCGACCAACGTGACTTCCTTGTCTGCCCCTTGTCTGATTCGTTAGAGCTTGGCCCGCAGTTCCGACTGCAACGGTCCGCCGCACGTGAGTCCACCTACAATGGACCTTATTTCACCAGCTGGGGGAGCGGGGCTCTTGGACCTCAAGGTTGGTGTTGGGCCCTCGCACGCTCCCACCGGGGCTGATCAACCAGTCGTGGTGAGGTGCATCTCTCGTTTCGCTTTGGGGGGTCGGTTCTAGCTCTTTGGTGAAGTTGGAGTGCAGTAAAACGAGTCAAACGTCCCTGGCAGACCAGATCCTCAACCTGATCCTTAAGGTTGATGCATTTATTTGTGTTGTGGCCATGGTAGCGGTGGACACGGCAATATTTGGACTGATCCCATCGACTGGAAGGAAACTTAGAAAGTTAGGGCCATTTCAAGTTATAATCCTGTTGGATTTGGTTTAGGACGTGCTCTATGGGTGTGTTAAGAGGGGTGTACCAGTCGAAACGGTCGAGCGATCGGGGTGGAACCGCTCGATCGAAGTGTAGAGGCCGGTCGGGATGAGTATATTAGAGATGTCTGGGTTTCGACTCTTTTCTCTTGTCTTTGGGTTGTGAGGGTTTAGGAGTAGAATCTTGGTGGGCTGCTAAAGAGTCATCAGCGTTCATGTATTTCTAGGCTTTGGCAAATAGGGTGTCCATGGTCATCGAGGGTTTTAGAGAGGGAGAAAAGGAAATCCGATGGGCGTAAACCGGCCATGAAGGTTGTTAAGATGACCTTATCATCATTCTCTTCAACCTGGAGGGCTTCTGAAATAAAGCGAGTGACAAAACTTCACAACAATTCCCCGTCAATTTGTCGAATGTTCAACAGCTGCGTCGCCAGTCGTCGCTGACACTGAGCGCTGATGAAATGGGTCAGGAAAGAGTTGCTTAACTGCTGGAAAGTAGCGATAGAGTTCGGCGATAATTGACTAAACCATAGTCGCGCCGACCCCTTGAGCATTACAGGGAAAGCATAACACATGATTTCATTAGGGAAAGCATGGAGGATGATGAGGGTCTTGTAAGCTTCCAGATGGTCGACCGAATCGGTTGTGCCGTCGAAGGTGTCGATTGGTGGCATCTTGAACTTGGAGGGTAGGGGTTTGTCCCTGATGGATGCGGCAAATAGGGAGTTGGCAGTTGTGGAAGGTTTGTGCTACATGTTTTGCATGACCATCTGGAGTTTGAGCTTCATGGCTCGTAATTTCGCGTCTCAAATGGGAACATTGTCACTGTCGGAGGGGAATGAAGGTTGAACGCTACTAGCCTCACCTTCGGGGACAGGGGGGTGGTGTGAGGGATGTGAACCATGAGGTGGAGGGAGTGGTTCCTGAGGAGGCCAGGTTTGGAGGGATATCTGGTGGTGAAGGAGGAGAAACGGGGAGATCCCGTTGGAGTAAGGCATTGATCAGGGTCTGGTTTTGCTCAGTTAAACGGTTAATGCTATTGGTGATTTCAGCGAAATAAGGAGGTGGGTTACCTGGGTTAGAGGACTCAACTTCAAGGTTACCAGCGTTGTGTTGAGAAGCCATGGACCTGATCGTGAACATCCACCCTAAAGTAAGACGAGGGTGATAACGGGGTTCCTTCCGGTGACAGTGAACACAACTGTCTTTGCAAAAAAGGATTCCCACAGACAGCGCCAACTGATGATGCAACGATTCTAGTCGATGGATGGGCCGGGCTGATCCACACTCCCAACGGGTCTGCTAGCCTCGGTGTTTCCTAGATGAGCTTGTAAAAAGGTCCGAAGGGGAAAGGGATTCCCTGGCGGACTCTCCGACAATCAAGTTAGGTTTTGGAGAAGAACGGTTATAGATAGATAGAACAGATGGAGGAAGAACTTAACTTTTAACGTATGTCGAAGGCTTCCTTATATCCTTTGCTCATCATTTCCTTGTCTCTTCCAGACTGTCTTGTTGGCCGAAAGTCTATATTCTATCTTGCATCGTTCATGGTGAGTCTGCCTCATTCAACGTGAAGAGATTGTCGGATTTAATACTCTCAGAGTTTCATTAATGGCTGATGTGTGATTGCAATAACTTTGCAGAATCTTTGTCTGTCTACATGGCTGATTCCCTGCTCAACAGGTGTTTGAATGCTATTGGTCCTAGTCCATTATTGGTTTCTCAAGGTTATTGGGCTTTAATATCTAGTCGGTGGGCTAAGCCTTGAGTCGTGGGCCGAACTCTCTTGGGTGTCCATTATGTTGTTAGTCCTGGTTCAGTATTACCCAGGTTGTGGGCTGGGCTCTCTTAGATGCCCATGAATATCAAATAAAATGATTATAAAAATAAAAATTGTGTCATAAACAAAAATTATTTTTAAACTATTGATTTTATTTATCTTTAAAGACATTTTTAGACAGTATATTACAGTAAATATTTACAACTAAATATTAAATAAAATGATTATAAAAGTTAAAAGAACCATTGTTTATATATTTTTTATTTTACATGCTAATGTAATGAAATAAAAATTTAAAAATAAGTTATAGATCATTTGAGTATATTTTTTTTTTGTAAACTTTTGTTTGTTTTTCGAAATACTGTGAAAGTGTGTAACGGACCGTTACGACTGTTACGGTACAGGTACAGCCGTTATACATGTGAATTTTCGTGGTCGTAACAAATATAACCATACATCATCATATATTACATAACGATTGTAATCATTTTTTAAAACCTTACATATAATAAATTTGTAAAACTATATATTTTATGTGTCACTCACGTGTGTTGTGTATTTTTGAAAAATTAGTGTCGACATGTATGTGCTCTTTAGTTGGTAACTATCAATTACTATGACAATAATCATCACTCTCAGTGGCAGTGTATTTTTGAAAAATTAGTGTCGACATGTATGTGCTCTTTAGTTGGTAACTATCAATTACTATGACAATGATCATCACTCTCAGTGGTAGAGATAAGATTTTAGTTCAAATGGGACAATAATAGAATGTTATGTTTACAATAGTGTTCTTACCTTGCTTTATTTCAATACTAACAAACTTAACCCACATTTTTAATCAAGACATCGACTATCAAACTTCTCCTTCCTACTCGTATGCGATGAGAAATTCACAGAATGGTGATCAACTAATTGACCCCCACGCCCGTTGGCCATAATTAGGTGATTTGGAAATATAGTAAAAAGTGATTTTTTAATTTTTAATTAAGTTTTTCATTTTTTTAGATAAGTAATTTGTAAAGTTGGTAAAAATTTATTTTTAACTTTTTTAATTAATATTTATTTATATTGTCAAATCACAGTAAAATGACCATATTAATCACATTCAATTTAAAATATTTACAACTTCATTCATATAGCACATTTTGACCCATAAATAATAGAATTGTAATTTTATCAGTGACTAAAAATCAACTTCCCAAATGTCTTTAAATATAAAAAAAAAAATTAACTTTTAACTTTTGTTAGAAACGCTTAAATATTTATAGATATATTCATCGCAAAAGAAGAAAAAAATACAAATAAGAATAAATTAACAAACATTATAAAAAAAATAGAAAATAAATATTTAATGGTAGACTTTATAATATAAAAGTGATTTTGTCATAAAATAAACATTTGAATAATACAAATTATAGAACTATTTTTAAAAAAATAGATATTTATTAATAAATCTCATCTCACAAACAAGTACTTCAATTAGTCCAAAGTTTTTTTTATTGATATGTTAAGTTCTATTAATGGAGAGTTTCTTTTCATGCGGTCCTATTTTTTATTTTGGTAGAGTTTTGGTAGACAGCTATACGTTTTTATTAATGTGACAGATATGATGTAATTTTCCAATGTAGTAGGTATTAATATGATACTCCAAAAAAATTAAAAACTCTAATATACTTTTCTAAATGTAATAACGTGACGGATATGATGTGACACTTCAAAACTTTTACTCAGAAAACAATAAATTCTTTAGTGTACTTTTTCTTGATGTGACAACGTGACGAGTATGATGTAGCATTAAAAAAAATAAAAAACTTCTTAGTGTAGTTTTCTCAAACGTGACAACATAGCTGGTATGATGTGACACTCTAAAAAAATTAAAAATTTCTTAGTATACTTTTCTCAAACGTGACATGTGATACTCTAACGTGATGAGTATGATGTAACACTTCAAAAAAATTAAAAACTCTATTGTATACTTTTTCTAAATGTGACACTTTAACGTGATGGATATGATGTGATACTAAAAAAAAATTAGTATATTTTTTCCAAATATGATACACTAATATGGCGGGTAAATGAGTCATTATAAATCCAAAAAGACTAAATAAATCACAATAAAAAAATATAAGACAATATATATTACAAGTCTAAAATATAAGACTGAGGACTATTTTGAGAAGATGGTTATAATTAGCTTTTTGATTAAACGTTGGTTATAAATAATTTTTTTTTAAAAGAAAAAGTGGGTTATAATTTGAGAAGTGGATAATTCACTTCCAAAAAAGACCTTATGGGTCAATTTCTTTTTAAAAAATAAAATAAAAAATAAAAGTATATGTTCAAATTTAGAAAGGACAAAATGTGAAATAATTTATTAACTTATATTAAAAAGTTGAGGAAGAGAATGTGCCCTGGCCATGCTCCCTCCGCCACTGATCACTCTGGTGATGGCAAGCATCATAAATTCTTTTGAAACGTCGACTATCAAACTTCTCCTTCCTACTCGTATGCGATGAGAAATTCACAGAATGGTGATCAACTAATTGACCCCACGCCCGTTGGCCATAATTAGGTGATTTGGAAAGGTAGTAAAAAGTGATTTTTTAATTTTTAATTAAGTTTTTCATTTTTTTAGATAAGTAATTTGAAAAGTTGGTAAAAATTTATTTTTAACTTTTTTAATTAATGTGGGGATATATTTTCTGAATACCAACACGTGGCATGGTGACGCCGACGTGTCAGCCGAGGTGTCACGTGTCGTGGTAGTTAGGCCGAGATGATCTCGGAGTTGCCGAGGTTATCTCCGAAGATATCGGAATCCGAGATAAGCGAAAAAGGGACAAGAGTCTTAAGACGAAGAGGGGACTTAACCAAGATAAGAATAAAGCTGTTAGTGAGTTTATCTTTATCTCTTAAGAAGTTCAAAGTAAGCACTGAATTGAAGTTCATAGAAGTCATACTTCTAGTAGGACTTGGATTGAATATATTATAAAAGAGAGGCACCCCCGTGGGTCTAAGGTATGCAATTTATGTTTTGAGTATTAAATTTAACACTTGATTATCTTTGAGATATACTGACTTGATCGTCGGAGTGCCCCCGGGTGGAAGAACCACCGCCGGAGCCTTTTCTTCCTGTTACAGGTTGCTGAAGCCATCTATTCTGCCTGTGCTCTCCCGTTGATCACTAAGCAGGCAGTGTGGTCAGATTTTCACCCACACAATTTGGCGCCGTCTGTGGGAACGAAGGAAGAATAGATGACCAGTAACGGACAGCAGGAAAAAATTGGGGATGACGCTCCCGCTGGGAGTGGCAGACCAATTGACCTTGACATTGAAGGAGATGACCACAATACAGAAGCCCGTGACCAGGGTCACAGAGAGAAAGACGTCATCCAGGAGGGCGACACGTCAAAAAGGACAGACCAAGGAAAGTACTACAATGAAGATAACCTCCAGGTATGGAGGGACAGATGCCTACAGAGGGATGAGGAAGTAAAAGAATTGGCGAACAAGTTGGCAGACCTTCAGTCAGTCGTCAACTTCATGATGCAGAATAATGTTATGCAGCCACCATACCCGCTGCAAGATACGCCGATGCCAGCAACAATACCCAGAAGGGCGGAAGAAAAACAATCCCCGAGGTCCCTCAGCATACCAGGAGCGGAAGGCATTCTCACCGGCCTTCCAGGGAAGTCGGACGAGAAGAGCCGAGGCAAGAAGAGTCCCGAAGGACACACCACATAAAGAATCCAGAGCCTAAAGAACATGGACATGTTCAGGGGCAAGTACTCTACTTTGACACAACCCATGGAGAAAGATCCAAACGGACCCACCACGAGGCCGAAAGCAGTGTACCAAAAAGACTAAAATCCATAGACAGCCAAG